TTAGGCTGCTCTAAATACAGGTGTACAAATCTTTCTCTAAATTATGTTTTCATTTCTCTTGAGTAACTACCTAAGAGTGGTATTGTTAAGTCATCACATAGGTGTATATTTTACTTAGAATAAACTGTCAAACTTTCTTAGAATCAAAGTTGTACTATTTTATATTCCCATTAGGAATTGAGAGTTCTAATTGTCCCTCATTCTTGCTTGGACTTTTCTTTCTTGGGAGGTTTTTGATTACTGATTGCATATCTTTACTATTGTTCTGTTGAGGTTTTTCTTTTTTCCCCTAATGATTCCCACAGTGACCAGAGTGCAAGACCAGGGTGGGCCTCCCAGGAAGCGTCGTGCCAGACTGGGGCAGCTGGAGGTCCGCCTTGGACTTCTGTGAAGCATCCTGCTCGACTGGAGAAGCTGGGGGTCCACCTGGGACTCTCACTTTCCCGCTGGGGAAACCATCGGCTTGAGGGCCCTGTGGGTGTGATGCTGTGCAGCCTTGGGGGAGGGCCAGAGCGCAGCCGCTCCTCTTGCCCTTCTCTGCCTCTCTGCTTCAGGAGGGTGCCGTGGCCTCAGCCCTGGGTTCTGGGAATTTGTTTCAGTGATGTCTTGTCTGTGGGTAGTTGCTGGTTGGTCTTGTGAGGGGGCTGAAGTTGGGAATGACCTATGTTGCTCTCTTGATGATGTCTCCCTGTAAGGTTTTCTGCACACACAGTTATAATGTCTGTGAACAACAGTAGTTTAGCCTTTTCCTCTTTGCTTTTTATGCCTTTTGCATCTTTTCTTAACTTATTGTACCGGCTAGTTCTTCTGTACAATGTGTTGAATGGAAGACTTGAGAGCAAACATTCTTTTGTTTTCTCCTAGTCTTGATTATTCAGTGTTTTACCGTATAATAAGTAAGATGTTGGCTATTTTTTTTTTTTTTTAGGAAAAACCCTTTTATTAGGTTGACATTTGATTCTCTTTCTGGTTTACTGAGAAGTTTTAAACATTAATGGGTTGAATTTTTTCAAATGCATTTTATTGTCTGTTGAGATACTTTCTTCTTTTCCTGTTAATTTGCTGAATTTATTTCAAATATTGAATCTTAACATTTCTAATATTAGAAATGCTAGATTAGAGAGTGTACTTTAATGTTTTAGTTATTTGAGACTTAAATAATGATAGCATATGATCTTTCTTGATGAACATTTTTTGAAAGGAAATATTATTTATCAGTATTTGGGATACTGTATCTTATAAATGTCAGTTCAGGGTAGTTGATGATATTTAGGTCTACTGTTTCAGTATACATACTGTTATTTTTGTCTTCTACTTTATCAAACAACAGTGAAACACCAGTGTTAACATTTCAACTATGATTGTCTTTTTCAAACAGTTATTTCAAACTAATCCTTGTTTTTAAAGTCTTTCCTTCATTTTGCTCATTTATATGTCATTTTTATGATTTTTCACATTGTTCTGTTGAGTTGATATTTCTGTTATTATGAAATAGACCTCTGTATCTTTGGAGAGTCTCCCTTGTTTTGGTGTTCACTTTGTATGATAATGTTATAGCCTCTCAAGCTTAATATATTTGATGATTACATTGTTGTTGTTGTTCAGTTGCTTAGTCACGTGCACCTGTTTGTGACCCCATGGGCTGCAGCACACCAGGCTTCCCTATCCTAGCTCAGACTAGTCCATTGAGTTGGTAATGCCATCCAATCATCTCGTGCTCCGTCATCCCCTTCTCCTCCTGCCTTCAATCTTTCCCAGCATCAAGGTCTTTTCTAATGAGTCAGCTCTTTGCCTCAGGTAGCCAAAAGTATTGGCGCTTCAGCATCAGCCCTTCCAATGAATGTTCAGGATTGATTTCCTTTAGGATTGACTGGTTTGATCTCTTTGCAGACCAAGGGACTCTCAAGAGTCTTCTCCATCACCACAGTTCAAAAGCATCAATTCTTCAGCACTCGGCCTTCTTTATGGTCCAACGCACACATTCATACACAACTACTGGAAAAACTACAACTTTGGCTATATGGACCTTAGTTGGCAAAGTAACATCTCTGCTTTTTAATATTTCTGTCTAGGTTGGTCATAGCTTTTCTTCCAAGGAGCAAGTGTCTTTTAATTTCATGGCTGCAGTCACCATCTGCATTGATTTTGAGTCCAAGAAAGTAAAGTCTGTCACTGTATCCACTGTTTTCCCATCTATTTGCCATGAAGTAATGAGACAGGATGCCGTGATCTTAGTTTTTTGAATGTTGAGTTTTGAGCTAGCTTTTTCACTCTTCTCTTTCACCTTCATCAAGAGATTCTTTAGTTCTTGTTCACTTTCTGCCATCAGGGTGGTGTCATCTGCAAATGAGGATGTTTGCCGTAGTGTATCTATTATTTCACTTTTAGTTTGTCTGTGTCTTTGTATGTAAAGTTGTTTCTTAGAGACAGTGTATAGTTGGATCTTGATTTTTTTTCTTTTTTAAAGTCTTTTTTGCTTTTTATGGAGAGAATATGGTCCATTTCCATTATAAATATGTTTTAAAGTCTGTTCTCTTGGTGTTTTCCTTTTTGTGTCATATCTCTTAATTCTCTTGTTTTAATCAAATGTTTATCATCCTACTTTATTTCTTGCATTAACTTTTTAGCTGTTTCTACTGCAGTTAATTTTTAGTGTTTGGTCTGGGTATTACAATATGCATTTTTAATTTGTCATGGGCTGCTTAAAATTAATATTGAACCACTCATTCTTAACAAATATAAGAATCTTAAAAAATAATGTAGTTCCATTTACTGTCTACCCTGCCATTTAAAATTAATATTTAACTACTTTATTCTTAACAAATATAAGAATCTTAATATCATTCCATTTGCTTGCTGCCCCTGCCATTTCTGTTATCATATATTTATTCTACTTCCCCATATCTTATAAATGACACTAAGAAATTATTTGTGCTGTAACAAGTAATTTTATCTTTTGAGGAAATGAATACCTATGCATTTCCCATTTCTAGTGTTCCTCATTTCTTCTTAAAGTTTCACATTTCTATCTGGTATCATGTGATTTAATTAAGCTTAATGGATTATTTGAAAAGTATTTCTTGTGTGCTGGTGTCTATTTTTAGCTTCTTTCATTTTCAGTTTTAAAGACTAATTTTATTGGGTGTCTTGTTCTTGGTTGAGAGTTCTTTTCCTCCTTCCATTGCTTTGAACATATTCTCCCGTTTTCTTTTTGGTCTCCATTATTTCTGATAGGTTTTGAAGTTCACCTGTGTGTTGTGTAGTTTTTCTTCTGTCTGCTTTCAGGACTTTACCTTAATTTTGGGGTTTTTGCACTTTGATGTAGCTAGGTTTAATTTTCTTTGTATTGATTCTTTATGGAGTTGCTGAGTTTCCCCATTTTTGTGGCTGAGTGTTTTTCAGTGAATTTGGGAAATTTTCAACCATTATTTCTTCAGATATTTTTCTGTTCCGTTCTCCTCCTTTAATGTAGTAGAACTTTAATAGCTACTTAGTAGTTTTGAAGTCCTGTCTTCTCATTTCAGTATCAGGGTCATCTTGGAGTTTGTTTCCTTTGATAGCTTTATTTCTGACTGCATGTCACATTTACTGATTATTTTCATGCCTGGTAATTTTTTTAACTGTATGCCAGACATTATGAATTCAACGTTGTTGAAAGTCTGTTTTTGTTTTTTTTCCCTCTGTCTTTTTAATTATGTCAGGTTTCATTCTGGAATGCAGTTAGTGTAGTTGGAGATACTCTTAATCCTCTCTCGGCTTGGTTTCAGGCTTTAGGTGGCCCTTCTAAGGTTCTTACTCTACAGTATGTTCCTTACTGTTAAGACTTGGTCTTTCTGGTATCTCAGCTGAATTCTGGGATGTTAATGAGGTTCCTCCACCATGACTAGGTAGGAACTTTAAGATATCCTGACACTCTACAGCTTTTGGTATCTCCATTCTTTATTTAACCCCATTCTTTATTTAACAGGCCTTGTTTCGGCCCTGTCACCTCCTACCCCTAAAACCTTCAGTACTGTTCTGCAAATTCCACCAGCTTCAACACCCCAGACTCTGCTCTGTGATCTTTGGGCACTGCCTGGGTCTCCACTTCCTGGGCTGTAGTCAGAAAACTGTCCCTTGCTGGAGATCTTGAGTGAAGGTGGAATTCACCTTCTGTGTTTCTATTTACTCACAGATCACAGTTTGCTCTAGCTATTATTCAATTCCTGAAAATATTTGTCCATTTTCATAATTATTTACAGCAAGGGGGGAAGTTCAGTATTAGTTACTCTATTGTAGAAAGGAAACAGTATATGTAAAACTCATTAAATTTTACTTAAACCAAACGGATGCTTACATTTCATCTGCAATATTAAGAGCATGGAAGATATAATAAGAAACTTTATAAATAGATTGGGTGTTAGAAATAATTGCATATTTGGTGGGTTGCTAAAATTAATCAGAAAGGTACTGTTTATTTCAAACCTTGTTGTGATTGCTCCATTCCCATGTGTAGTTACAAGTAATAAATATTTGAATAAATGAAGATCAAATAAGAATGTATATTTGAAAAGCCCTTGAAAATTATTAAATGTATGAACATGTGAAAAATATTAAACTCTTTTACTAATTTGCAAAATGTATTCTCTTTTCTTGCTTTTAAATTGATATTCCTGTATTGACTTACTGGAATTATTTGAATTTTTTTTTTTTTTTTTAATTCGAATGATTCTAAGCTGGAAGGTCTAGGCTGGTGAATATATATTGGCTTATGAAATAATACATTTTTGTTATTTTTATTTATTTTTTTAAAAGTAAGCAATTCACTGATTTTGTTTGGTTTTGTTTTTGTGATCTCTTTGGTATTAAAGTATAGGAATGAAGGGTAATGATTAAGAGTCTGCTGAGGTTTGATTTCAGTGGGCATTAAGTCCATTGCCTGAACTTTTTATTACTTTATTAATTTCCGAAACATGGTTTTTAATTCTAAGTTGACTAATTTTCTTTTCTTAATTTTCTAGCTCTCTATCAATATCAGCTCACATCATTGAAAAAATAATTCTGAAGACATGTTTTGCTGAAAAGACAGCTGAGAAAAATTTTACGAATGGGATGAACACGCGCCAGTTCATTGACTACCTACTGCAATTTGAATGTTAACATCACCCACCTGGTACAGTTACCTAGTGATGTACCAGTTCTCACGATACCCTATTTCAGTGTGCTTGTCTTGATTAAAGAATTCAAAGTGGAGTACCGCAAACTTGATATGGAAAATAAAAAGAAAGACAAGGACAAATCAGATGATAGAATGGCACGACCTAGTGGTCGGTTGGGACATAACACTCGAGGAACTGGTTCTTCTTCCTCTGGAGTTTTAATGGTTGGACCTAACTTTAGAGTTGGAAAAAAAATTGGATGTGGGAATTTTGGAGAACTACGATTAGGTAAGACTATTTTGTTTATTCCATAATAATGGGAGCATTTCTTTTTTTAAATGAAGGGTACTTTTTAATGAAATGATTTACTTACTTGTTTAGTTGTTTCATTGTTGTGGTAATTTTAAAGAATACACATACTAAGAATTTTTTATGTACTTGTATTTTCATTTGTGGGTCATTACTTAGTACAGTGTCTGTTTTCTTGACTTTAGCCATCCAGATTAAGAGAAAAAAGATAGTAAATGAAAAAGCCCTAGCAGGCTGAAAGAGAAACCACGGGAGTCTTTGCAGTGTACTCTTTAGGAATGATTTTTAGGTTTACCTTTTCTGATTGGAAAACATTTAGTAACTGGTTACTTTAGGAAGATACATATAGCTTAAAGTTAAGGTAATATCCTTAAACTGTGTCAAAAATCAGTGCAGTTTGCAGTGTTGTAATTTATTCCCCTCTTCTCCCATGTATGTCCAGAGTGGTTTAGAAATCTATATTCTTACCAAGGGACACAAAGGACTGATTCAGTTTATTCTTAAGATCAGTTAAGTTTGGGAAACATTGGTCTACTTTAACCTCCTAACTCTACGTTTAAGACATTTGAAACTCAGGGAAGGTTTCTTGACAAATGTCACACATCAATTTAATGATGGACTCACTATCCAGATCTATCTTTTTAACTCCTAGTGCAATGAAGATGTGGCTATCTTCATTGAAGAGAAACAAGGAGGAGGACAGCACCGTTTTATGGGAGTCAGTATTGAGGTTCCTTGAGGGCTGTCTGGTTAATGCACCAGCACAAGTGTAAACTTCTTTAAATAAAAAGAAAAAACTTAGCTTTGCAGTTTTCATTAGATTCAACGTTGGTGTTATAAAAATATGTACAATTGTATGTTCATCTATTCAACTACTTCTCTTTATCATCTTGTAAAACACTCTGAAAGAAAGTGAAGTGTTAGTTTCAAAGAGTCTGATACTCTGTGAGTATCAGTCCCCCATGGACTGTAGCCCACCAGGCTCCTCTGCCCATGGAGTTCTCCAGGCAAGAATACTGGAGTGGGTTGCCATTCACTTCTCCATGGAATCTTTATAATCCAGGGATCGAATCCAGGTCTCTTGCATTGCAGGCAGATTCTTTACCATCTGGGCCAAAAACACTCTAATTTTTAGTTACTCCTTCATTTTATTACTGTTTTATGTAGTTAATGTACATTAAATCTTTGAATGAAGCAATCCAATAAAAGGTAATGACATTTTATACATGTGATGTGTCTGATAGACTTTTTTGCATTTTAGTAGGGACTCAGATATTTGAAAGGGGGAATGTTATATAAATTATATTTTATTTTTTAAAAGATATTGTAATGATACTTTGAAATTCTTAAACTGTTTCTGATTTTGGCATTAAAAAAAGAGCAGATTATTTACTTGTCTGACCTTGAATTACACCCATCCATCCATTAAAAAGTTATCACATGTCTACAGTATTATGTATGAAACATGATTAGACACTGATGATACATTGGAAAAATATAAAAATTATCTCTGCCATTATGGAACGCATAAGTCATTTAACCACATGGGGCTTCAGATTTGTCCACTTTAAAATGGAATTATTTCAGCTTCCTGAATTACTGTGAAGATTAAATTTAGATAACAGTATAAAAGAACCAACATTATCCTTGCCTGTTTTAGGAAAGCAGTGATTGTTCTCCTCCTTTAAAGGATATCAAGATATTTGTTCTTAATTAAGATTGTAGCGTGTTGTATGTATATTTAAATTTTTTAATATAAATTAGTTTTCTAGCTATATATTATGACACATTTGTACTTTGTCACTCTTTGTGTATATGGCTATAGTTCTATAGTACTTTGGCATTTATTATCCAGAATGATTTCATATAGTTTATTTCAAAATAACTATATATATATATATATACACATCTGTGTGTGTGTGTGTATGTATGTGTGTGTGTGGGTATATGTGTGTATACACACAGAAGAATCTAGTGGAACATTTTAGCCAGGGCATATGAGAAAACTGTATTACTCCTATATACTGAAACTAACATGCTGTATACTGAAAAAAACAGCAAAATACCCCCATTTTTTTGCAGTCTGTGAATAAGCAGGAATAGGGATAAGATGATTTATTAGTCTATCCATCCATCTGTCCATCATCATCTTTCTATTTATCTATCTATATCTAATCTACCTGTGGGTTTTTATTGTATATTTTAGTAGATTTTATTTAAATGTTTTATCTATACATGTTACAATTTCAATACTTATGATTCATTTAACATGTCCACTTGCATAATTATTTTAATCATTTTTCTTTCTTGGTAGACTACTAAATAAAGGGAGGTTTTATTCCCTTTTAAAAAGGTTCCAGGTGATTTCTCTGTACAGAAAGAGTTGTTATAAGTATCATTTTTTCTATGATAAATGTGAATAAACATGTTTATTTAATCTGAATAAACATGTTTATTTAATCTGAATAAACATGCTACTATTAAAATCTGGTTTGAATTCTTAAAGTGCTTTCTTTAAAACCATGTTAATAGACATTGATTTCTGGCACTAAGTTTTTTGTGATTAGTATTGAGTAAGAAAGAATATAGAGTATATATGTTATAGTTAAGTGATTGTCAAAAAAGGTGCTATTAGGATCTTGGGCTGGATAGTCTTTTGTTTTTGTTTGTTTGTTTGGTAGAAGACTGTCCCATACATCGTGTGGTATTTAGGACTTCAGACATCTTGGACACTAAACAGGAGTTGCATCTCCACATGCAGCCCCAGATTCCTTCCTTGCAGCCCCCACTGCCATTTCCAGAAGCCCCAAGAAGAGACAGTATTACGCTCTGTTGAAAGTACTTTTATAGAGGATCACTAAAGAAAGAAGGAAATGGCAACCCACCTCCAGTGTTCTTGCCTGGAGAATTCCATGGACAGAGGAGCCTGGCAAACTATAGTCCATTGGGTCGCAAAGAGTTGAACACGACTGAACGCTAACACACACACACACTCTCTCTCTCTCTCTCTCTCTCTCTCTCTCTCTCTCTCTCTCTCTCAAGAAAGAAAGCCGAACATAAAAAAATTTGCCTTGAGATTAAAAATAGTTAAATTAAAAAAAAAAATCTAAAGTTTAAGTAAATGTGTTTACTATCATTTTTATCTGTATTTTTAATTGTAAAATGATGAATTGACTATTTTTGGTTTTATTTTATCCTTGTATTGGTGGTAACGCTTCCATCCAGCATGTTGAATATATTCCTAGCTTAGACAATTAACCAAAATGCCTTGGAAATGTTTTTAACAGGTACAGAATGAGACAGAACAAAGCTAGCTAAAATGTGGGGTTATATTGTATACATTTTGTATTTTCCTGTGTATTATGAGGCTTTAACATCTGAAGAAAAACCTTTCTGGTCAACCATATAGACGTCTTACTGCAGATGTATTCTAGAATGTATGGAATACAAACCAGCTAATAAAACATTGCTTTAATAATAAAAAGAAACCAAAAAACCTCAAATCCTTTCACTCTATGGAAAGAGAGTGCTCCTCTACAGGATAGCTAGTTCTTCAAGATAAAAAAAATTGGGAGCATGCCTTTGTTCTGCCAACTAACCAATCTAGAGCCATACCTCCTCTCTCTGACCCGTGCATTCTAGGAGGCAATCTTCCTGAAGGCATCACATGGCAAAGAACAAGACAGCTAGAGAAACTGCCCACCGAAGGTTAACAGAGTTATTCAAACTAGTCACTCCTAAGCTCTTTACCCTTCTCTATCTTGTTTTTCCTGCAGAAATACCAAGATCTTGGCCAAAGCTCTTCCCTTGCTCCTGTGTTCTACCACCTGACCAAAACATGATGTTGCTTCTGTGACCCCTTCTTTAGCACCAGGAAAACTTTGTTTTCCTGAGCTTCTTCTGTGTCTCCTCTTGTAGCTATGCCTGACTGACCATCACGTGAAAGAACAGAACAAGGGTGTTATATATTGTTTTTTGAATTACCATATCTGAAGTAAGATATTGTACATTTTGATATAATTAAGTAGACACAGAAGTTTTTATAACTTTCTATTTTTGCTTAAGAACTGTTTTGTTGAAAATTCTTCAGGTCTTACTGTATATATCAAGTAAATATACAGATTTGCGTGGATTCATCTTTTTTATGTTTATTGATCTTTCTACATTTACTAGCTGAAGCTTAAAATTTTTCTGAAAAATGTAACAAGGAGTAGGCTATGATGCTTTAAGAAAGAGATCCTAGCATACAGCAGTGTTTGGCAAAGTAGTTTCTTTCTTTCTCACGTAACACAGGCCAGAAGAACAGCACCAAGGGCTGTCAGGGTGTCTGCACCCTCGGAATGTGGCTTCAGTCTCCATGTGTGAGTTGTTCACTCCCCTTGTTGCTGTCTCCCAGACACCCAGCCAGCAGCAACAAAAGGGCCAGAAGATAACACGTTCATTCTTGCAAGTGGGCAGTGACATACCTTATGTTGACTCATATCTAGAACTTAAAATCACATGTTGAAAGGGGCTAGAAATGTAGTCTAGCTGGATAACCATTTTAGGCCGTTCTTTTACTAAGGAAGGTGGACAGGGGTATTTTAGTTGATTAGTCGTCCCTGATACAACCATACATGGAGTTTCTGTAGAAATCAGTTTTATAATAATGACCATTCAAATATCCCGATATTGGTAAACCATCTTTTCAAATTCAGTATGGCACAAAGCACCATTGGAAACATCGTTTGAAATTGGATTAAAACTTAAATGAATTGGAGCCAGTTTACTTGGAGCCTTCTCTTAATTGGTTTTCCTCTGTACACACACTCCTCTCTCTTGCTTGTATTGTACCCACAAGCATATACTTTGTGTATTGAACATACATTGTTAGTTTATTCATATATATACCAAATATGGATTTAAAAGCCGATTATTTAAGGGCATGACAATACAAAGTGAATCATTGAAAAAGCAAGACAGTGCCAGAAAAATGTCTACTTCTGCTTTATTGACTACGCCAAAGCCTTTGTGTGGATCACAACAAACTGGAAAATTCTGAAAGAGATGGGAATACTAGACCACCAGACTTGCCTCCTGAGAAATCTGTATGCAGGTCAAGAAGCAACAGTTAGAACTGGACATGGAACATGAGACTGGTTCCAAATCAGAAAAGGAGTACTGATGTATCAAGGCTGTATATTGTCACCCTGCTTGTTAATCTATGCAGAGTACACCATGAGAAATGCTGGACTGGATGAAGCACAAGCTGGAATCAAGATTGCTGGGAGAAATATCAATAACCTCAGGTATGCAGATGACACATTGTTTATGGCAGAAAGCAAAGAAGAACTAAAGAGCTTCTTGATGAAAATGAAAGAGGAGAGTGAAAAAGTTGGCTTAAAGCTCAACATTCAGAAAACTAAGATCGTGGCATCTGGTCCCATCACTTCATGGCAAATAGATTGGGGAAACAATGGAAACAGTGACAGACTTCATTTTGGGGGGCTCCAAAATCACTGCAGACAGTGATTGCAGCCATGAAATTAAAAGACTCTTGCTCCTTGGAAGAAAAGTAATAACCAACCTAGGCAGCATATTAAAAAGCAGAGAGATTACTTTGCCAACAAAGGTCCATCTAGTCAAACCTATGGTTTTCCAGAAATGTATGGATGTGAGAGTTGGACTATAAAGAAAGCTGAGCACTGAAGAATTGATGCTTTTGAACTGTGGTGTTGGAGAAGACTCTTGAGTCCCTTGGACTGCAAGGAGATCCAACCAGTCCATCCTAAAGGAAATCAGTCCTGAATCTTCGAAGGATTGATGCTGAAGCTGAAACTCCAGTACTTTGGCCTCCTGATGCGAAGAACTGACTCATTTGAAAAGACCCTAATGCTGGGGAAGATTGAAAGCGGGAGGAGAAGGGGATGACAGAGGATGAGATGTGGATGGCATCACTAACTCAATGGACATGAGTTTGAGTAAACTCCGGGAGTTGGTGGTAGACAGGGGGGCCTGGCGTACTGCAGTCCATGGGGTTGCAAAGAGTTGGACACGACTGAGTAACTGAACTGAACTGTGCAAAATGACAAAAATGCATTGGTAGTATTCAATCATGGCTCATTTTTATAACCTTCAAAGTTCAGTGAAATTGCTAATATTTCAAAAAAAGAAAATGCTTTTAAGATTTAGTGCTTTCTTCTGTGACTTCACTTTCACTTCACTTTCTGTGACTTAAAAGTAAACATTTGACCATGTAAATGACAAGAACAATATTTTAAGAAGTATTTTGTTTATTTTCATTGTATGGAATCTGTGTTTAACTTTTTGTCCTATAAATATTTTTTCTCTGTGGTTATGAGTAAATATCATTTACAATGCAAAATAATTCTGAGAAGATGGTAATGTCTTGGTGAAATATAAATTCCATTTTTAAACTAAAATTTTTCCTTTGTTAGACACTCAGGATTTAAGTGTTCCTCAAGATTTAAAATTTTCATTGTATCAATTTATTCACTAAGCCAATTTTATACATTGTGTATTCTTAAAATATATATGGTCACATCTAAATGCTGAACTAATTGGCTGAAAAATAGTATGTTTTCTGAAATATTTTTTAATTTATGGGCTCAGTGAGTACTTTGACTACAGCGTAGCTTACACCACTTAGGCATTCCTATTAATCTCCATCTTTGTGATCAGTGTAATAGGTTTGTGAGACTTATGCTACTTAGCATTAGAATGAACATTTTTTTCCCACTCATTTTTATAAAACAACAAAACTCAGAAGCGCATTATAATATTTATATGAACAAACACTACAGTGTTGGCAGTGGTTCTCAGTATTTTTGTCATGACATTCTTTGTCACAAGTAGTCGTGCTGTTTGGTCATACAACTCATTGACCATAAGGCAGTTTTGCCCTAAAGGGTAAGATAACTGGTTGACAATTTGGTTTCATTTCTCCATGGATGCAGTGCTTTCATTTTTTTTTTTTTTCATTTTATATTGGATTATAGTTTGTGTGTTGTGTTAGTTTTAGGCGTACAGCAAAGTGATTTAGTTATTTTTACAGTCCCATCACCTCATGGTAAGTAGAAGGGAAATAGTGTGAAGCAGTGACAGGTTTTCTTTTCTTGAGCTCCAAAATCACTGTGGACAGTGCTGCAGCCATGAAATTAAAAGATGCTTGTTCCTTGAAAGGAAAGCTGTGAGAAACCTAGACCATATATTTAAAAGCAGAGATATCACTTTGCCAACAAAAGTCCATATGATCAAAGCATGTAAATGAGAGTTGGACGATAAAGAAGGCTGAGTGCTGAAGAATTTATGCTTTCAAATTGTGGTGCTGGAGAAGACTCTTGAGAGTCCCTTGGACTGCAAGGAAATCAAAGTAGTCAAACCTAAAGGAAATCAACCCTGAATGTTCATTGGAAGGACCGATGTTGAAACCAAAACTCCAATACTTTGGCCACCTGATGTGAAGAGCTGACTCATTGGAAAAGATCCTGATGCTGGGAAAGATTGAGGGCAAGAGGAGAAGAGGGCGACTGAGGATGAGATGGTTAGATAGCATCACTGACTCAGTGGACATGAATTTCAGCAAACTCTGGGAGATAGTGAAGGACACTTGGAAGCCTGGTGTGCTGCAGTCCATGGGGTTGCTAAAAGTCAGACAGGACTTAGTGACTGAACAACAATAACAACTTTGGCTAATTTAGATACAGTTGCTTGTTCTCTGATGCCGTCTTTACCAGGTTTATCATGCAATTAGAAATTGGAGGCTAAAGAAGAATCAAGCTCATTGTGTCCCCGACAAAAGAAATGGTTACACGATTCCTGATGAGTGTAAGTTTCTTGAAAATGGTCGAATTTTTTGCTGTTTGATAGTGGAGAACATGATGGAGACAGAGTTTTTGTATTTGGTACAGCATCTAGCTTAGTTGATTTGGTGAAATATAAGGAGTGGGCATGTATTGGAACATTTAAATGTAGTGCAGTGATTTATTATCAGTTATATAGGTTACATCCTGACGAGGAAATGGCAACCTACTCCATTACTCTTGCCTGGAAAATCCCATGGATGGAGAAGCCTGGTAGGCTATAGTCCATGGGGTTGCAAAGAATCGGAGACAACTGAGCGACTTCACTTTCTTTCTTTATATAGGTTACATGTATTGATAATCAGTAGGAGTGTCCCTCGATTATTCATTTTATTTCCAGGGAAATCTGGAGAGACTTAGTGCAAATTTTTTTTTATATCATAGAGAATTTAGATCCAGTATGAGATCCTGAATCCCTAATGATTGTCTTTGACAAAAGGTGACAAAGTATCACCTTTTCTCAGATATACCATAATACAACTATTACCATGAATCTTCACAAATTTTGAATTTTTTATATTTTCATTTTTCACAATAAAGTCTTTAAAAGATTTTTTTTACTAGTTTTTCATGTGTCATTGTGTCCTTTTTAATGTTTATTTAAAATTTTATTTTCCTTGTTTTTTATGGCAAAATTGCCTTATGGGCCGTTAGCTGGGCTGTGAAATTGCTTGTGGCAAAGAGTGTTATGTGAAAATACTGCTCATTGTGGCAACATATCCAAGACTGAAATTTTGTCTAGAAGTTTCACTGCCATTCATCAGCTGCTGAATAAAATGAAGTTAGGAGTATTATGTTGGAAAAAATTGCATGTGTGAAAGTTGATGATTACCTATTTTATTCAGTAGTCAGTATAACCAGGGCCATTTACTATCACAGTTAAACACAACAACTATCATTGTTCTCCTTTTCTTCAGAAATTCAGAAATCTAATATTGTTCTCTTTTTTATCCTTTTAGCTATACTTATAAAGAAGCTATACTTATGTATCAGATTATCTTTATACACTTAATTCTCCATAGTGTTTTACTTGAACTACAGATACTGACCCTGTGGAATTTTCTACATTATTTTCAAATTGCTGGTGCCAATGATTAGTGTAATTTACTTGGATTCTTTACATATTAATTATGTTAAATCTTTTTCTGATTGTCTTCTACCTGTTCTTTGTGTAGGTTTTTTGACTTAAAAAGGTTTCAAATGTTTTAAGCTGTCAAATCTGTATAAAATCTTCTGATCTCTTAATCTTTTTCCTTTTTTAATGCTCGAAAGGCTTCTATATACTGGGCTGATAAATATTTTTTCTTATTTTATGGCTTATATTTAACTCTTAAAATAACTGGAATTTAATTTGGTTTTAAGGTGAGTTGCTAATAACACTTCTTCTCCTCAGAGTAAATAACTAGTTTGTCAAAGGCAGTTATTGAATAGTATTTCTAAAATTTTATTTTATTTTAAATGTATTCCAGATTTTTCTGTATATTTACTAGATTATGTAAGAGCTCTATTAAGATCACATCTGATAATGACAAAGGATTTAAAATGAGGTGGTGATTGAAAAAGGAATTGTGTAGTCTTGTTTCTATATGCCATTCTGGTTTTGAAACTTTTTGCCTATTGATTACTTCTGAAGTGGTACACAGTATTCTAACAAAATAAGAGTTTTTCTTTTTTTTTTTTTTAATAAATAGGCTAAAATATTTCTTAGTTAGTTTTACTTCTTTCTCTGAATCCAGGTGAAATACTAAATATTACTGAGTTGATCATAAATTTAAATATATCCCTGTTAATGAGGTTTCTGCTAAATAGTTGGAAGCAAAAATCTATATTTTATTTAAATGTATTCTGTGCTTTTCCTCCTATCCCCCCCAGAGCAGTTTTACATAATATATCTTTAAAAATTCACTTCCGGGAGAATCTGACATTTTTCTTTCTTTTTCAAGGGAAAAATTTGTATACAAATGAATATGTGGCCATTAAATTGGTAAGTTCATGTTTCTTATTTTTCTTCAATTATTTTCTTGTTATTTCTCTAATGATTAAGTTGTATTTTCACTTGTTTTTTCCCTATCATTTGTAACTTGAGTGTTTATTTGTAAAGTGCGAGGCATAACTGACCTTTTGTTATTAAGCTTCTAGCGTCATCGTGCCCCTCAAGTGTATGGTAATGTATATGTAAGATATCTGTGTCTTTCTGTGTTACAATAGCTTAATTCTTTTACTTTGGCAGCATTATCGAATTGAATTCTTAAAATGTGGCACTGCTTCAAATTTGAGGAAGCTGATGTACTGGCGTTTTTAATATGATAGAAGTTAGAATGCAAGGTTTTTCTTCCTGATTCAAGCATTCGGACAAAAGTGTCTTTAGTATTTAGGATTACATTATTTGAAAATGTATTTCCAGGTAGCTTCCAAAATCTTCTTTTCTGTTTGTGTTTTATGTTTGGTAAAACTGGGTCTTTCTTGACCTTCAGGGATTCAGAAATTCTTGATGTGGGTGGAGGTTAGCCAGGAAAGCAAACTCCCAAGGGACTGATTTGAAGTCCTAAAGAAGCCTGCTGTGACAGCTGTAAGGCAGCTTTTTTTTTTTGTATAGTTGGGATCTGGGAATTTTTATGACACATAACTTTGTTCTGGTGAAACTTTACTATTTGGTTTGTCAGCCAGATTTCCCTGAGGTTGAGCATGGATTGCTTGGTTTTCCCAGCCTGCCTGCCAGTCTTGATCTTGTTTCTGCCAATATAACCTCTGTTATTAGGGCAATGTGACTACAGAAGAGACTATTCAAGCAAGAGGCAAGTTGGAGAAGTTGAAAAACAAAACTTTGGGGATAAGATAGAAAACTGTGTTTTAAGTTAAAAAGTACAGTTTAAGTATCTTTCTGAGTGTAAACCAAGTTTCACTGGAACAAATGCTGCCTGTTTTTACTGGAAAATAAAAATGTGCAGTAGGAGTTGTGGTGCTTCTGAGATGGGCTCACTGACATGTGAGTGGGACTGGCATTTACCTGGCATGAGTTCACCTAGGTTTAAGTTCTGGTCCTTGATTTTTATGACAGAAAATCTGGTTAGGTTGTTTCATTAAAACTGTCACTGTTAGTCAGAACTAGATTCACAGTATTCATCAATTCACTTAGTCAATCAAGCTCTCAGGTGTAAGTATTTCAGAAGAGTTAATTTCTAACTTAAAGTGAAGGTATTTTACTATTATGGGTCCAAAATGCGCACAACAGTATATAAATCATGTTTTCTTTCTATAGGCTGATCTACATAGAATATTAAGCTAAAACTACAAAAAGAAATTTACAAGCTTCCCTCATGAGTGTGTAGTCATGACAAGGGGAGCAAGGAATGGGCACTGCTGGCTTTTCTTTGCCCATGGTCTAGGCCAGTGGTCTAAGATACAGACATTGAATGGTGTTGGGAGTGGGCATGGCACACTAGGATGGCAGTACCTGTATTCTCTGTTATTGATGGCTTCTAGTGAGTAGTTCCATTCACGGGAGCATGTGAGTGATACTTAGGTTAGGGCAAATACATCTTTGTCAAAATAGGAGCCACGCTAGGCTCACCTTGACTTGTCAATTTCAGTCATTAACTGGTGACCCTTAGCTCCAGTTATTTTCAGATTTGAAACTTGTTTACCCTGTTGACATCTTTGATACCTTACTAAACATGTACTATGTCATCTGTTAGCCTTCTTATTTATACACATATGTCACTTGTTTTAGTTTGCCTTCATGCTGTATCACTGTTAACATATTTTTTTTTAATGTCAAGGTTTTTTTGATTCTGGAACCTAAATTTCTTTACTAATTTATTTTTGGCTAAACGGAGTCTTTGTTGCTGTGTGAAGGCATTCTCTAGTCGCTGTGAGCAGGGGCTGCTCTCTGTTGTGCTGCGTGGGCTTCTCATTGCGGTAGCTTCTCTCGTTGCAGAGCGTGAACTCCAGACGTGTAGGCTTAAGTAGCTGTGGTGTGTGAGCTCAGTAGTTGTGGTTCTCAGGCTCTAGGCCACAGACTCAGTAGTTGTGCTTGGGTTTAGTTGCTCCACAGAATGTGGGATCTTCCCAGACAAGGGATTGAACCCACGTCCCCTGCATTGGCAGGTGGATTCTTTACCACTGAGCCAATGGGGAAGTCCCCTTATTTTTTTTTTCTTCTTTTGTTTTTTGACATTATTTTTCTGCCTTGATTTGTCCCTTATTAGCACAGTGATCAGATCTACATATAATAATGTTGTTGTTCAATATTCTTTGGGAAACTGGGAGTATTTTTATATCTACATGTGGCATTTTGAGGTTGAAGTATGGTACAGAGTTATGCTTGCCTCAGATTCATCCAAAAATGTATTGGCAGGACAGATAATTTTTCATATAAACTTTAAAACATGGTTGGTACTTAGCTTCCCAAATATTTGCGTGTGTGTGTGTGTATTTATATGTGTATTATATGTATATACATATATATATATAATGTCCTTATATATTTTTTCTCTCTTTTATGTCTGTCTGTATCTATTGTCTCTGTTTATAGACAACCACATAATTTTGTTCAGAACCTGCCTTAAAAGTAACTACTTGAAAATGTTGTATCTGTATACCTTCAGTACTATCTTATTTTTGTACCTTGGTACAAAGGCCTTATTTGATGACAGTGGTGTTCATTCAGAGAGCAAACTTCAGTGACTAATTTCAGTTTTGTTATATATCCCATATAAAAGTTTACACACTTATTTAATGTTACCCTAGTTCATATTGATAGTTTGCTTCAGGTTAATTTGTTAACTTGATCTCAGCCACCAGTCTCATATCTTGTTTGTTCAGTTCAGTTTAGTCTCTTAGTCATGACTCTTTGTGACTCTTTGCGACTCCATGGACTGTAGCACGCCAGGCTTCCCTGTCCATCAGCAACTCCTGGAGCTTGCTCAAACTCGTGTCCATTGAGTTGTTGATGCCATCCAACCATCTCATCCTCTGTCACCCCCTTCTCCTCCTGCCTCTTGCCATACAACAAATGACAGGTTATTATGTATCTTGTTTATAGTTACATAATAACCTGTCATTCATGAATAATGAAAAATTCATCCAATGGTGAGGTGACTTTTCTTGTATGGTGGCACAATAAAATTTTAGTGCTAGTAAAGTATTGGAATCAAGCTGAACTGACTCTACTAAATTAGATCTGGGTTTCTGTTTTTACCTAGGGAATATTAGTTATTGAGTGAATATGTATTTTATTTGTGACTGTCTACTTGGGTATCTTTTTATGATATCTTATGGTTATACACTTTAATATAGTTAACTAAAGAATTCCACTGTATGAAAGGGGCTGTTTTAAGTCATATATATGTGTATAGAAATAAAATGAGAAAATATTTTATCTGTTTTTTGTAAAGGAGGGAACTGAAAAGTACAAAAAGATTAAATAAATCTAGCAAATAGTGAATTTATGATTCACACCCAGCACAATTTAATTTCAGTGCCTCTGCCTTTACCCTACCATCCTGCCTCTTAAGAACTAAGTTGATTGTTTTCTCTTATAATAATCTTTATGATTATAATTGTTCCACTGGGATTTTACAGCTTCCTTATTTGAAGTCTTTGTCATTGGTTCTTTCATTACGATATGTCCAAGTATAAATTTCTTTCTAGTTACTCTGTTTGGGATTCACATTCCTCTTGACTCTCTGGTTTGTTATCTTTCATCAGTTCTCTCATTTATTTTTTCAGTTATTGCCTCTGCTCACTTTTCTTTCTCTTTTCCTTATCAAATTCATATTAGTGCTCTTTATATTGTCTAGCTCTTTAATCTTTTTTCCTGTGTTTTCTATTTTTCTTCCTGAATAATGCATTTTGTATAATTTATGTAGATGCATTCTACAAAATTTTCTTATTCTTTAGATATTTTTCTGTCTCGCAGTTTCCAAATTCTCTTTGCTGTTGTGTTAGTGTGTTGACAGATAGGTTTTAAATTTTGGTTATTTTGGGTTTTTTGTACTTTTTGAAGTTTTGTTGATTTTGTTTAAATTTTGTTAGCTTGTTATATACTTTCCTGTTGGATCTTGTTCAATTTTCTTGTGTTATTACTCTGTTATAGTTTTGTTTGCTACAAATATTTTCACATATTTATATCTTAAATCTACTTTGCTTCTGTTTATGTTCTATGAGTGTGTGTGTGTTTGTCTGTGTAGGTATAAATCTCAAAAACATGATGTTGAATGAAAAGTCAGACACATACATATAAAACATATATCGTACAATCTTATTTGCATGAAATCCAACAACAGACAAAACAAATCAAAAGATGATAGAAGTCTGAGAGAAGGGTGATAGAAAAGTGCTAAAGGCTTTTTGAGCTAGTGGTTGGAATTTACAAAGCTCATGGGCCTAATATTTAGAAATTGTGTGTTTTACTGTAAGCTGTACTCCACCTATAATTTTTTAAACTGTATTGTTGCTACTGTCAAAATTTTCCCATCTCCATCGTTGTTCTTTTTTACTTTTCTGTAATGTCACTTTAACCCAGAACCTTTCCATCAGAAATATATAGTGTAGAGGGCACAGTAGTTCCTGGGAACAGGAGAAATAGAATCAGGGCCATCATTGCCTTAGTCAAGAATGTTCACAGAATACTTTTCTTCAGGGTCAAAGAGTCAAACATAGTTTTCCCTAATGCTTATCTAATAGCCACTTAACCTTGTATATGTTTATGGCATTAATTTCTTTTACATTGTACTTAAAGTTGATTATTATCTGGATTTAACCTTAGGGAGACAAGGATACCTAATAGAGTGTTACACTGTGTAAGAGTTGACATCAAGATTTGTAGCATTCATAATAATTGGAGCCTAGTGACACTTTAATAACTTAAATATTTTTTATTGTTGCTTTTTTTTTCTAAATAGGAGCCCATGAAATCCAGAGCACCACAGCTCCATTTGGAATACAGATTCTACAAGCAGTTAGGATCTGGAGGTAAAGTCTTGCATTAACTTTTAAATTTGTAGTAAAATGAACGGTCATGACAGTAACCCTGGTCTCAAGGAGCACTGCGTTACATTCAGTTACCGGTGGCCTTACATTCAGTGCTGCGTTACTCAGCACTGCTGTGCTGAGTAGGCTAGTTTCTTACTCACCGGAGTCTTCTCTTTTTATTTTAAATATGCCATTTTGGGAGCTTTTTGTGTTGGTATCAATAGAAATAGAGAACATTGTGAAAAAATTTAATTGGGGAATATAAAGTTCATATAGTTTCTAGACTCTTAGCCTTTTTGGTGGTATTTTAGTTACTGAAATGACTTATGACATAGTAGTAGGCTGAAAAATGGCCCCTTAAAAGATATCCATATCACAGTCCCTAGAATCTATAAATGTGACCTTATAGCAAAGACTTTGCAGGTGTGAATAAGTTAAGGATCTTGAGATTAAAGATTATTTTGGGTTATCTCAGTTCAGTTCAGTTGTTCAGTCGTGTCTGACTCTTTGCGAGCCCATGGACTACAGCACATGGGTTATCTGGGTGGCCCCAAATGCACAGTGAAAGAGAGTCAGAGGAACGATTTATGTAACAGAAGAGAAGGCCAAGTAGCTACGGAGGCCAAGATTGGAGTGATATGGCCAATAAGCCAAGGAATCCTGAAATCCTGGTGTTGGATTGTCCCTTAGAACCTCTTTGATTCAGCCTGTTGAAACTGATTTAAAATTTTTAGCCTCCAGAACTGTGAGAAAATAAATTTCTGTTATTTTAAGCCACAAATGTGTAGTAATTACAGTGGTTGTAGGAAATTAATACCAGTATAGTTTTACATAAACTCTAAATCTAAGTGAGAATGGATATTTTGTTCCATTGGAAAAAAACTAATGAGAAAATTCCCTATTTTGTGTTGTATTAACTTTATGTTAACGTTTTTCTCAGCTCCACTTTTCATTTCTGTTCTACTAACTGTAATGATTTTTATATGTACAGTGTCTTACCAGGTAAGGATATTTTGTTTTCCCAGATTTAATAGAATGGAATTTTTTCATATGTCTTTGCATAAGCTCATGTTTACCTTCTGCTTGGTAGAGCTGTACATTTCTTAATACATTATCAATTTTGCATTCTTTTCTTTTTCCTTAGAGCATGCTTTCCAAATGAGTCATCATTGTGGGGACACTAAGTTGACATTTTGTAATAATGATTTTATCATTATAAACTTTCTATAGTGTATGTTTGAGTCTGATACAGACAGTCCTCCAGGACTTATAAAAATTATCACTGACAATTGAGATTTAAATGGTAAGGGGATACAACTAGTTATATGTGAAACTATACATATTAGTTAGGACTAGTAAGTGACAGAAAGCCCTAAGAAGCTAAGTGGGGGGAAAAAAGGAATTTATTGACCACATACTGTAAATTTGGGGAAAAGACTTGTTTATAAGACTTTGCAGTACTGTCACCAGAGACATTCTTTAATTTGTCTCTGCTTGTGTGTGTGTCTGTGTGTGTGTGTAACCAAATGTGTAAGCTTTGTTCTCTGATTGGCCCTTCTTACGAAATGACAGAGAAGCTTACCAACAGCCTAGCTTAGCACTTATAAAGGTATCTCTTAACTAAAAATTTCAGCAAAAGTTCTAGAACTGTGAATTGTAATGGTTGCCTGAAGTGGGGAGGGAGGGGTAGTTAGGGATTTTAGGAAGGTCGTGTGCATACTGCTGTATTTAAAGTGGATAACCAACAGAGACCTACTGTATAGCACATGGAACTCTGCTCGGTGTTATGTGCCAGCCTGGATGGATGGGGGTTTGGGAGAGAATGGATGCATATATACTTATGGCTGAGCCCCTCACTGTTCACCTGAAATTACCACAGCCTTGTTAATTGGGTAAAAGTTTAAACTTTGGGGAAAAAAATTATAGCACCAAAAAAATAAAAGTCCTAGAACTGAATCGTACTTGTTTTGTATCTAGTGATTTAATCACTGTGAATTTGATTGCCCAGACTTGCGTCTTGTGCTCATCTCAGGCACTACCTGAAATCCAGGGGCCAAGAATAGGGAGAGGTGGTTGTCTCGTGGGAAACTGAGGTGTCACCAGAAGAAGGAAGATTGGATTGGCTGGGGACCATGTGTTGAGAACTGCTGAGCTGGGAGTATAGGCATTGGTGCTAAAAGTTAAGAATGCCTGAAAGTAAAGAATTTCCTTGGAAAAGAACATAACCTGTGTCATAATTCTATAGTTAGTTTTTCTAATCAGATTTCAGTTTTTCTTGATCAGATCTGTAGAGTTTAAATTTCCTGATAAGAATGTTAATATTGATGTGCGTGCATTCTAAGTTGCTTCAGTCGTGCAACCCTGTGGACTGTAGCCCTCCAGGCTCCTCTGTCTTTGGGGATTCTCCAGGCAAGAACACTGGAGTGGTTGCCATGCCCTCCTCCAGGGGATCTTCCCGAGTCGGGGATTGAACCTGTGTCTCTTACGTCTCCTGCATTGGCAGATGGGTTCTTTACTAGTACTTCGGTTCTAATCCTTCCTACATGAACAGTAGTGGACCTGAAAATGGAAAGAAACGTCATGACAATCATTCTTTTAATAACTTGCTTAGCTGTTGCCCACCTATAAGCAACTGAAGTACCAAGCAGTATTAAGAGTGTAGCATCTCCATATGTTATTTTGTGACTTAATTGATGGTGTTTTATCACATAAGTGAAGTGCTGAAATATAAAATGAAGTGTTAAATTTATTTTGGGAGAGAGATGGTGCAATTTTACTTTCACGTTGTGTGTGAATTTTGTATTCTTACCAATTCTGGAGTGTTTCTTGGGAAAAAAATACTTGTCTTCAGTGTTGGGGATGCTAATAAGCATCACTGAAAATTAGTGATGTTAGAAGTTATCAGAGTAACTTTTGTCAGCCCACAATCAAGGACTTTTTGTAGTAGTCTCAAAAATGCTTTTAGAACAATTGAAATTGGGTGGACTCTAAGTTTATAGTTGAAAGTTCACTGGATATAAAAACAAATACAAAAGCTTGCTTTTGCCCATTCAGTTGGATTGTGTTCATGCTTTTCAGTAGCCAAAAAACTTTGATCAAGAGACACAGCTAGTAACTTAAAACCTCATTACTCTTTGTTCTCAACCATCTCTCCAGAGCCTCTCTTTTTTTCTTGCCCTCTTGTCCCTCACCTGTCCCTTCTGGTCTTACATATCATATTTATATTGCTGTGGTTGTGTTGTTTTATTTGGTGCTTGTTTAGCACCCTTGTTTATTAGTTGCAGCTTTTCCTAATTCATAGCAGTTTGATTTGTTTGCTCATTGTTAGAAAACTGCCCAGCCATGTCCTGGGAAATGGAGTTTTAGTTTGGTTTTTACAGTGCTTGCTTTTTGCTTTGTACTCTTGACTTTAAAAAGATATGTAACTCTGATCCTGTATTCAATGACAGAATTTGTGTTGAAATACATTATCCATTATATTAGTAGTTATGTAAGAAGTTTTTACATTCATTGACTCATGAAGCAATATGTATTTCAAAGAGTTATTTAGAGTTATATCATTTTTTTTTTTTCACCAAAGATCTTTGCTGAATCATTTTAAGGTAAAATTATGTTGAATGATAAAGCTGAGGTATTTTTATTCAGATTGGAGACTAAATATTTAATTTACCCAGTGAAATGTAATGCTCTTTATGGAATTTAGCCATCTTGGATAAGGTAGAGATAAATATTTTTGAGACACTTTGAAACCATTAAAAAAAGGAAGTTTTGAGGAAAATGGAAGCTGTTCTCATTTGTTCCTTTGTTGATCTCTTTCTCAATATTATTTTAGAAAGCCAGAGATATATTATGTGTATACCTTGCTTGAATGTACATGTACAACTGCCAACAATGAGTTGGCTTGTATGAATTCACTTACGCATACGTCTTTTCAGTTCAGAAATTCTATGTGAATAGTTATGAATTTTGAGTTATGCTTAATAGATGCCTTTGAAGAGAGGAATGTTAAAGGTTGGGAAGCAAGAAAGTTGGTGATTTGGATGGCAGAACTAGGGTAGAAAACTTGAAATGCACCCTTAGAAGAAAATAGCAAAGCAGAGTAAATCTGGGCCTTAGAATGGGAGGTATGGTGGGGAGGGAGAGGAAGGCAAAATTACATTATATGGTGGCAGAGTCTGAACACTACACAGCTGACCCTTGAACAGTGGGGTCCACTTACACATGAGTTTTTTTCAGTAGGAAGTAATACTTCCCCTGACGGCTCCCCTGGTGCTCAGATAGTGAAGAATCTGCCTGCAATGCAAGAGACGCAGGTTCCATCCCTGGGTCTGGAAGATCCCCTGGAGAAAGGAATGGCTCCCCACTCCAGTATTACTGCCTGGAGAATCCCATGGGTAGAGGAGCCTGACAGGCTATAGCCCGTGGGGTCACCAAGAGTCAGACAAGCCTGAATGACTAACACTTTGACTACAATACTCTATGATATAAGGTTGGTTGAATGTGAGGATGTGGAATCTCAGACACAGAGGATCCAAAACATGTATATGGGGGGGCTGACTGTGAGTTACATGTGGATTTTTGTGCAGTGGAATCAACGCCCCTAACTGCTGTGTTTTCCAAGGGTCACTTCTACTTTGCTTAATTCCAAGGAGCTCCAAAATGAAGTTCATGATTAATAAGAAAAGAAGTAAGGCTATATAACTTTGAATATTAGGGAGAGTATTTGAGAAATACTTACTCATTTACAGTTAATACTTGGATTAAATAAATGTGGCCTAAATCTTTTTCCAATTCGTTTTTCTTTGTTGTCCCTGAAGAGTTTTTTTTTTTTAAGTTATTAGAAGTTTCAGGTGTGCAGCATTATAATTTGACATCTGTACAGGCATTCCTTCTTTGTTGGGCTTTACCAGTATTTTTTTTTTTTTTTAGTTACAAATTGGACGTTTATGGCATCCCTACAGAGAGCAAGTCTTTGATGCCCTTTTTCTAACAGCATCTGC